TCATTTTTCACTGTTAACATTACAAATAAATGGCATACCTATAAATGTGTAAGTACTGCCTGTTCATAAGTCTAATAAATACAGTACAGTAGAAAAAAGTCCTGTATTTCAGTACACTTAATTTTTCCACTCTCTTGGTGCTCAGTATTACTAGATACTGATCATGCTCAAACACTTCCATAATACATCTTTGAGGGTTCTTCTAAAAAGAGGTTGAAAAAGAGGTTTCTGATAACTAGCACTGCTTCCAACAAAAATAGTTGTCTTTCACTGATGAATCTGTCAAACCAAAAGCTAGAACAGGTGACAAGGTGTATGCTAACTTGTGTGACTAATGGTGCAAGTGTAATTTAAACTGCTCATACAAGACGGTATTTCACTGACCACAAAACATTCACTATTTGCTAATTACAACGAGCAGGTTCTTAGCAGGCGGCTGTTTTTAATTAGAGCTGATACATTAGGAATTTGCTTTGATTTATTTTAATTTTTTTCTACGTGTTTAGAAGTTAGACAGTGCCCTCTCCTGGAGATAAGCTCCAGTAGCAGTAGTTTGCAAAGTGCCCCAAATGTTGCCAGTTAAAGAAAACGGGCACTAAAAAAGTCTGTGTTGCTCTGCCGAAGGGATTTGCTGGTTTAAGGGACTACACTTTGTTGTGGTCATTCCTTGCGTTCTGCTCTACTTGAAAGCATACTGTGTAACAAAAATTGTTTTGTTTAGATGGCAAAGAGCTTTTGATTAGTTTAGCTTCAACCTAGTTAGCTGGAGATGACTGTGCAAGTTTATCACAGCAAGCAGCAGGAAGATGTAGTGTTATATATTATAGATTTTAGAAAAATCAGGTCAATTCTGTAAGAGCATATTCATCTTCAGAAATAAGGGTTAGAGAGAAATATGCAGTTAATGATTACTTTTTAGATGTTCTCTTACATGTTTTTATTGCACAATTGCACAATGAAATTTATGGTGGTACTGAGAAGTCAAAAGTTAGGGTGTTTTTTTGGGGGGTTTGGTGTTTTTTTTTCTGTTTTACCTTTCACGAGAATATTTTTCATTGTTTGGGTTGTTTTGGGTTTTTTTGTTATGTTGGGTCTTCTGGGGTGTGTTGTTTTTTTGAGGTGATGTTAATTAAAACTCCAATACTATCAGTTTCACTTAATAATTCTTATCTCACGCCTTTGAACTTTTCCAGGGTCCAGAAAAAAAAGCAGTTTACGTAGGACCTAAGTTGAGACAGAACAATCTCAAGAATTTAGAACATTTCACAGCAAAGCTGTCAGAGAAAGAGAAATATGGATTTCCTTAGTAGTGAATTTAAAGTGTGTATTTAAATTTCTTCAAAGATAGACTATAAAACTGTAATAACCTAGCATTCATATTTGATAAATGTAAAAGTTTGCTGAATGGACATTAATATATTTTATACTATTAATCTAAATTTTCCTATAAATCACGGAATCATAGAATCAGTTTTTTTGATCATCAATTTTTAAGATCGTCAAGTCCAACAAAAAAGATTATTTGAAACTTTTACTGTTCTCAAATAACTTCTGTAGTTTTTCTCAACACAGAAAACGTGGAGATATTTAGAGTTTAGGGTTAACTCAGTGATTTTTACTAATTGGCTGACAGGTTGTTTTGTACATTAGCTTGAACATGAGTAAAATCACCTTTTTTTTTTATTTCTTTATTTGCTTAAATTTTTCATGCTGTCTAAAAATACACAGGCTTCTTAAAAAAAGACTGTTCACGCAGAGCAGCTTCTCTATGCCAAACTCAGCATCCTCTGAGCTCTCACTTCAAAGTTGCACAAACAGGGAAAATTGCAGCCCATCTTACAGGGTGCACTCACATCAGGGTCCTCTGGAGCATAGATCAAGGTATGCTCCTAAAATACTTTGTCCACGCATAATATTATCTTCCAGTCAGTGGGATTTTGCCCACTACTTACATGTACCTGCAGCTGTGAGTGTCTCTGCTCCACCAAGTAAGCTCCACTGCCCTCTGCAGAGAGCTGTGATCTCTGGAGTAGCAGACCTCCTCATTAACGGTCACAATTGGTCATTAGCTGGTCACTAAATCTTTCCTGATGACCTGCTAATGAACTTCCTACTGGCTTTTTGTGAAGATTGGTCAAAGTATGCAGTATGGGTAATTTATAGCTGAACACCTGGCATGCTAATGGCCTTCGCTCAATGGATGTAATTAAGGCAGTATTGCTAGGAAGCATTACATCTTTCTTAATTTCTTTCTCAGGTGGAAATGTTTCATTTTAAACTGAAACTGCAATCTGTGTTTAAAAATACGTTTAGATATTATATTTAAAGGGGAAACTTCTTCAAGGATTTAATGAGGGGAAAGGCCTTGATCTTACAAACTTCTATGTTCTAATATATTTTGCCCTTGAAAAAAATATGTTTCTTCTTAAAAAACAAGCCTAATTGTGTTTAGGTTCACCTGTGAAAGGCTCAGAGGTCTGCACATTGCAAAAATCATCTCTCAGTGGGTACCTGTTACCTGCAGAAGCCTGGAGAACTTCAGTGGTTCAGAACCTAATGTTTGTGAATCATGGATAAATTGGCCAGAGCTACAGTCCCTCCAGCTGTGATCTTGCCAGCTCTTGAAAGCTACAGTTTCAACTGGGGCTTGACTTGGTGACAAAACTCAAAATAAAGCCCAGGAAGTGGCAGTGATGCATTAGGTAGCACTTTGTCCTTTAAGACTGGTAGATAATGCCATAGGAGTTTTGCAACTACCACAGAAGCCTGCTTTTGCTTTAGATGTGCAGATATCTACTCCTGTTTTGAAAGTGATCAGTCTACTAATGCTGTGGTTAGTAGGCATTTCACAAGCCTGAACATGCGCTAGACTGGATGACTGTGGCCAAGATATTCATAATCCTTTAAGGTTTTGTATTTTCATTTTCACATACTCATATATCATAATTATGATGAAAAACAGCAAAAAAAGTTAGTTTATATTTGCTATGCAACTGCTATTAAAAACTGGTTTTGTATCTGCTAAATAGTCCTGGACACAACCAGGAACTTTATTCTGTTCCATTACAGGTTTTCATATACTTGACCCACATGAAGTGGTATCCCAATGCTCATCTCATTCCCTGAAGATGGTTTCAAGATTGCAAAAATCTTTCTCCTCAGTGCTTCCAAATGACAATTCTTGTGCTGTGTAGAGGTTGAGGAGGTGGGTTTCCAGGGAGGTGTCCTGACCATTGCACCTGGAGTGTGAAAACAGGAGCTGTGGTTTTCTTTAGAAAGAGGGTTTTTGCTCTCTCACTGAAGATCTTCAGCTTGCATTTAGTAACTTGGCTCTAAATGAGATGAGACTATCAAAATGTCTCATTAGTCAGAGATTTTATTTAATAGCTTTTGACTACAAATGAGACACTCCTCTTCTTCCCACTTTCACGTTCTGACATACTCTTAGCTCCTTAGCAGGCACTGCTGGCAAAGCAACTGTGGCACCAACCAAAAGTTTGTGTAAGTACTATAGGAATTAAACAGCTTGTGAAAGCAACATAGGTGGTGCTTGCATATTGTGATTACAAACATTGGACTATGCACCTTTCATGGCATGGATATGAGAGTTCAAGCCAGGTAGAGGAGTCACATGCTCTTACAGAAAGCCACAAATAATTTCAGATAAATAAGACATTTATTTAAAAATAAGTCTTCTTGTTATGCAGCATTCTGCATTTGTTGCCATACTAAAAAGTAAGATGTTCATTTATTAATGTCATATGTTTGAGAAGGACCAGGTCCTGAACTAAAGCAGTACATTTTTAAGGAAATTCAAATTAATTTAACCGAGATAGACTTTTCATGGCATCTTGGTACAGCATGAAGTAGTATTAGCAGTGGTTTTTTTTGTTTGTTTGTTTTGTCTTGTCTTGTCTTTCCCAGGAGCTGTGATCAGTCAGCTTTAAAATCCTAAGATAAAAAATTGAAAGTGTAAATCAAATACAAGTTTGATTTCAGCAGTAATATGAACTCAATGAAAACACCCATTTTGGGGTAGGAACATTCCTTAAATCACAAAACTACTTTAAATCACTGTGTAATTATTCACTGAAGAAATGTACCTAACAGTTTAGAAGGTTTGGTGCAGGTTGAGACAAATATCTTCACAGCAGTAAATGGGAGAATTTTAACTATGTGGCTGTCCACAGTACAGCTAGTTTGATCCAGTCTTACGAACACACAAACACGTGCAAAGTACTGTTGCAATCCCTGTACGTACTCTAGCCGAAACTCCAAAGTTAAGTGGTACTAATACAATGCAAGACTACACAATGAAAACAAGCCAAAGTGAAGGTTTATTACATTTTTAAATTTTGACTAACACAATTAAATAAGTAGTGCTGCACATTTATAGAATTTCTGCTTCTTGCTGTGTGTACCTAATGATTATTTCCATTCATTATGTCCCACACCATACAGAATGATTTCACATACCTTTTTTTTTTTTTTTCCTTCAGTTTCAGTGTTTAATACTTTCCATTTAGCAGTGAACAACCATCTTTGTATTGGCTGGCCCTTGGAAATGGTACACTTCAGTAATGTACTGGCCTTTTGATAGAAAACATTGCAAAGCTGAACTGGCACAGATGTGATTGCATGTCTATTTTACCTAACTTTTATCTGTTTTCAGAGAAGACATGGAAGTCTTAGATTAAGCTTGTTCTTTTTGGAAAAATAGTCTTTTATTTCCTTACGAAACATAAAAAAACTTGGTGAAAAATCGACAATACTGAATCCTACTCTTATGTAACATTTAATTTCCTTTTTATTAAATGAATTTTCAGAAAATAACTTGAACAACAGCGTGAAGACAAACAGATACTTTTGGATATTTTCAACAGCAGCTGGAAATTGTGGTTCTGTCTAGATATAATTTTTTAAAAATCATCAAAAACAAATAAAAATACAATATTTTACAAGTTTTGAAATAATATTTTTTTTTACATTCTTGATAACAGGTGTTTCTGCAAATCTCACTTGCCGAGCTTTCTTTGGATATAGTGGAGATGTCAGTCCTTTAATCTATTGGATGAAAGGGGAGAAGTTTATTGAAGATTTGGATGATAGTCGAGTCTGGGAAAGTGACATCAGGTAAAAGAAAAATAACTTTTGTTTTTCTAGTCACTATCTTTTTTTTTGACAGTTAATGTAATACTTGTTATCACAGACTAACTCAGGAACACTTTGGTTCTGATCCCAGTTTTTGCAACATTTATTCTTTAACTTTTCAGTAAAGTAGAGAGAAATGCATGCCTCTGTCAGATCTGTCAGAAAGCTTCAAAAGGAGACTAGCTGCCTGACAAGTTCCATAGTGTGACTGACTGGGATTTGCACAGTTACTTTTTCTAACTGTGGTAAGCTACAATAAGAACCATTAAGACAGTTGCTAAGATGAACTAAAGAAAAATAAATAAATCAAGGGAAACAGCTTAAAATAAGTCTTCTAAAATATGAAGCCTTAAGTAACTGCTGAAGTCTGGCTTCTCTTCTGGAATGCTTTGATTTCCTCTATTCAAGGAAAAAAAAGTGTTTCCTGGGATGTTATCTGACCAGTGAGAGCCAAGCATCCTCTTATGTTGATTGCTTATATCTGTTGAAATTCTTTGTTTAGAGAGCATCTGGCAATCTGTGTTATGTACTTTTACTGCTCCTAAAGGTACTGCCTCACTTGGAAATTAAGAAAAATATGAATATTTAAATGAGAATTAGATGCTTGACACAGTGTACCAACTCCTCCCCAATATGAAGGTTCTACTTGAATCTGAAGAGATTACTTTTTCATTTATTATTCAGATGTGTTTATACTGCTGTCCCTATATATCTTGGATAAACCCAGTAATGAAGGCAAACTTAAATGTGCATTACAAAGGTGGCTAAATGATCATAGATGTGTTATTTATGGTGTTTGTCTATAATAGAACAAAATAAGTTTATTTACACTTCACCTCTGCCATAAGAGTGTATTATCTCATCAAGAGACATCACACTCATTTTCAACTTAACCTTGGACTTCTTTAGTGTGATGAAAGTAACAGAGGCAATTCCTTAACCAAAATCAAGGCCACATAGACATTCACTGTTGTCTCCATATCCCATATATAGGCAAAATGGAAGCATATTTCACCTTAATGCACTTCAAGTTTATCCTATAAAGCTCCAGACCAGTACAGTACATGTCACATGACAACCAGGCCAGTAGTATTTCACATCTTAAGCTCTTCCTTCAGCCAGAGACTTGGCTTTCTGAAGGCTGAAAAAAAGGTGACAAGAACCTCCTTTACAACTTTCTTGTTTTTAAAAGGGAAGAACAAGAAGGTTGGCTTCCATTTCTTTTGTCACGTGTGACATGACAGAGCAGGCGAGGGGGTTTTGTCATTTGCTATACTGGATTTCTAAAACTACTGCTGGACTTGCTAAGAGGCGAAGAAAGCAATGCAAACACAGGTAGAGTCTTACAGATGAGGTCTTTTATTTATCATCAGTATGATGACTGGCATCTTCTATGCCAGTTCTTTCTACTGATTCATAATACATGGTCAAATTTTATAATACATTCAATAATTAATGTTTCAGACCCTGGCATGAACACACTGTCTCTGAGTAATGTGTTGAAGAGCTTCAGAAAATCCACAAATAGTGTGTTTGGCCCAGACACTTAATGTGACCCTAAACTCGAAAACAACTGTTCTCACTTTTCTCTCTTCTAACATCTCAAGACTTCATATACTACTTACTGATCATGGTCTCCATCAGAGCGTGCAATAATATATTATCAGTGTGCACATCATCCTGCTTAAAGAAGACAATTATGTGAAGCTCTCATTAACGTTTACAAAGCCAAACCTCCTCATTAGAAGCAAGGAAGAAAAAGGCATGATATAATTAAATTAAGATTTCATCAAGCCATAGACAAATTTGAAGCCATAGAGTTGTGAATTGTAAGTAGCATTATTATGTCATTATTCTCTAATGCTCCGCTATCATACAAGCAGAATAGCAGCAATGGTTGTTTTTTTGTTGATTTCTCAGGGTTCTCAAGGAACATCTTGGGGAACAGGAGGTTTCCATCTCATTGATTCTTGACTCTGTGGAAGAAGCAGATCTGGGGAATTACTCATGCTATGTTGAGAATGGAAATGGACGCCGGCATGCCAGTATTCTTCTACATAAAAGGGGTAAATATGCAGCTTTTCTCCATTAAATGGTACCTTATTGGGGCAGTCAGTTTGTAGACAGTGTCCTTCTGATGCAAGCATGAATATTGGCTTCCTGAGACATTAATAGGTGATTATTATTTTTCCTCAGGCATTTGTACACCTTTCAAAATAAAAGAGAAAGGTTGTTGTTTTCTATGGCTGTCACTGGGAAAAATAATGTAACATCTTTTACTAATATTTATATAAAAGATAAATTTAATAATTAATGAACTTTAAAACATATAAATTATCAGTAGAGAAAAAATAATAAGAATCCACAAGTAATACAACTGTAATAATTTAATGTAAGAAATAAAATACAATAAAATATTGGAAAAGCCAACAAAAATAACATTCCTCTTCTCTAAGAAATGCCACCTAAATGCCATGCTGAGGGAGTCCCTGCATAGCCTGACTGTGGACATTTTCCTTCTAACACATTTGTTTAACACCAACATTTCTGAAGTGTCATGGCTGAAGCTTCTAGGGACCTTCCTGTTTCTACTCACCACTCACATCCCGTGATTACAGCCTATCTAATGGTCACAGCCATCTCCCACGGAGATAGTTATGGAGAAGTGGAGAATCTCTTGCAAAGCAAGGTTCCCAGATCCACTTTGTTCACTCTGCCTCCCAGACAGTGCTCCACATCTCTGGGCTTGATGCTCCCCATCCTCATACAGTGTCTCACTGGTTTAAAAGAACAAAGAAAAATCAAGAGCAGTCTCTGTACTTTGTTGTTATTACTGTGCTTTTTTTTTAGACTGTTCGTATAGGTGAACAAACACTATAGTGTTGAACTGCTTATGCCATCTCAGTTCATACCAAAAGAGTGATGTTTTTCCTAGTTTTAATCTTGTAGCATGAAAAGCCTGTCTAAGTTTAAAAAGAAGCCATAAATCAAGACAGTGCAATTAAAGCATTTAAAAGAATTTTTGTGTATGATTGAACTAATTTGTAGCCATTTTTCTGAACTCTTGTCATTGATTCTTAAGAGATGCAGATATAAGTAACCAGATGTTCTGCTTAGCCTGGCATTTGCCGTATTTTGTTGAATTTACTGAGGTGGGAAATGGATTTATTAAGTAATTTAACCTCAAAAATTTACCAGCTAGTAGTCACACACACCTAATTCAGAAATGTTTGAACAGAGAGCAAGAGATTAATGCAACAGACACTGAAATCCAATGGCTTGTTTTAAATAATTAAATTAGTGTGGGGGACATTCAAAATAAAGAATTTTTAAGATTTAAATTACTTAAAACCAATACTTAATTAACTTACATGTATTACATCACATGCTGATGGTGAGTCCTTATTTTCTCTTCCATACAAGCAGTAGCTCCAAGACTGACAACACATGAGTCTTCTTTGTCCTGCGACCACCATGTAACAGTGTGCATGCACAAATTTTGCAAGGGTCCACTTATCCTTTCTTGGATAAATCAGTATGTCAAACAAAACACAGTATGTTGCTTCATGATGACATGTTTTAGAGGAAATAATCTCAATATTTAATTGTCATTATACACAGTAAAACACTAAAAATAGCAAAAACTCCCTCAAATATTTTTTTCCTCTTCAAGTAAGGCTGAATCTGAAATTGTGATTTAGAAATAAATCTGCTGTGCCCTCGAAAACCAAAAGGTACCTTTTACAAGCCTACACACTTTCCATGTTGACAACTGTTTCAGTGAAATGAGAAATTAACCATGACAGATAAAATTTTGAGCTAGTCTCTCAAGTCTCCTAGGAAGAGGAGCTTTTCTCTGCTTGCTTAGTCTCCTCTATATCACCATGACAACATTTCATTTTAGGTTTCCTTGTTTAGATTCACATTTAGTCTCTGCTAGGAATGAGTTCACTGTTTATTAATTTCTGATTATTGGCTCACTTATAACAATTGGGACCTAAAAATTAGCTAAATTTGCTTCCTGAACTGAGGCATTTGCAGAGGTATTAGTTTTGGCTGATTTTCTAGTTAATGATCTTTTTTTTCCCAGCATAATCAGCCAACAAAAGTGCTGAATCTGGAATGTTCACTAGATACCTGAAAAATATATTATAATCCCACTTAAACTTCATACGTGGTACATTATCACCAGGGTTAGAAGGCACAGGAAAGCATAAAGCTCGGTTACTGAACAAAGACCATTCCTAGGAAAAGAGGTATTTAGGGCTAAACACTGCAGTGGAGATTCTGGTACAAAATGTAGGCTTTTCAAACACCCTTGCAGCTGCTGCTTTGTCCTAGTCAATATATCCTCTGTAAACTTAAACTTCCAGGGGGAATTTTTGGACATGCCTGCAGTTACACATGCCCTGAAAGGGCAAGAAGTTCAGAGTCTAAATCACCAGCAAAAACGTGGATGCACCTTCCTTGCTCTTCCTGCCGGTCAGCCCAGTGGGGACACACTCACCTCACAGAAAACAGAAGCAGGATTCATCAGCTAGTGATCCCCACCACAAACCCATACCTAACACATTCAGTCAGGGAGAGGGGGCTCCTGCTCCTTCCCTGACATAGGACTGGAAAAGAAACCTGAAGCCTCCCCTTTCCTGAGAGGAATTTCAGGACGGGAGTGGAACAGCTTCCCCAGACTCCAGCGTCACTTGTGCAGGAAAAGTAAACCCAGTTTGGGTATCCAGCACCAGTAAAAAGCTGGGGTCTCTGGCACCACCATCTAGCCCAGATGCCAGTCCTCTGTATATGAGGGAGCTGAGCCTTAATTTTTTTTCTGAACTTGGAGAAAACCTATGATCTATGCTTTTGTGCAGCTGGCTAACCATTGTTAGACTCCTAACCTTCATCAGATGCTGTGCATAGGGAGCATTTAGCTCAGAGCTAAAGGCAGTAAAGCATTTTAAAGCATGACAAGACCAAAGCAGTTTCCTTTTCTGGTCAGTTCCTATAATTTTTTTCCAAAAATAATCAGAAAAAAAAAGAGGAATCAGAACCAAAGAGATTTAACTTTCATTCCCTTTCTCCAGTTGTTTGCCAAATCTCTTTCTATCACCATTACCATAATTAAGTTATTTTCTCTCTTGTGTGAGAAAAAAAAAAAAAATCTACTTATTATAATCTCAGGCTGATTTTGTTACTTTTTGGTGATAGCTTCCATCGATCATCTGTACTACTCACAGGTTCACCTTCAGCCAGGTAGAGGAAACTTCAGAAATTAGTTTTGAGAGTGGTACCGACAGCAACTTAGCACAAATTTATTAATGACAGACCACATATTGCAGGTGGTATAAGGGTTGGATCACACACTGTAATTCTGTTTTTTTCACAGGTTTTTAACTCAAGAAGACAAGCCCATAGTAGCTAAAAAATGTAATGCATAAGGTATACTCTTCCACAATGTTATGTATTGAAAAGTATGACTTTCATGCTGAATCAAGGCCTTTGTAGTCTCATTTAATCATAAACTATGCTGGAAATACAAATTATTATCTAATTATGTTATTTTTGTGGAAATTCTTGTCTGCATATCTGCAACTAAAAGTGTAAAATCTCAAATTCTGTCTTGGCATTATTTTTTTATGTTTCTGACGTTATTTTAAAAGCTTAATAACATACCTGTATTTTTCATGGGACAGACACAAGAACTAAGAGCAGATAACATATTTTATGATTATTTTTTTTCAGTGTATCACCTTCCTTTTTTTCTAGTTTTCTCAGTTCCGTCTAATTTTCTATTCTGAACCTCTTATGTTTTGGGTTTGTTTTCCTCTCTCACAGGTGTTTTTAATAGGCATATATGGGTCTTGTTGACTACAAGCTAAGGAGGGATCATTAAAATAGCTGTTTTTTCTGTTGGGACAAAAAAGACTTTCACTGAATTATTATTTATTTTTTTTAGAAGAAGAGATTTATTCTGTTTTAAATTACTCATGAGAGTATATGTTTAAAAAAGAAACAAGTTAATATTGCCTATAGGAAATAAATCTCAAGGATACCTACAAACAAGTAGGCATCATCATTTAAACTCATCATTTATTAATGTATAAACATCATATTAATATTTCCTGTACATTTTAATAGCAAATTCTAAATAGCAATCTGAATGTTCTTCATGAGGTCATTACCAATAATGGAATTGCTAATGAGCACCTTAAATTTATTTTATTACTTCAGGTCCTGAATAAGTTAACTTTTTTATCTCATGAGAATCTTCATTCACTAGGACATGATTTCATACAGTAGAAGTGATAAATGACAAGACTTAAAAGAGAAAATAAACTATTTCTTTTCTAACGTCTGCAAAGAAACCACAGGTGTTATACCTCTTTTTGCCATAGAGCTTCAAAATGCTTTTGAGATTTCTGAATGGGTGCTCATCATGTGAGATATGAGAGGATTAAATTTTATATTTCAACTTCTGGTAAGTGGTCCTAATTACTTGAACAGTCCACCAAATCTCTGAGTCTCAGTGGAAGCAAAACTGTTGTAAAACTCTGACTCACTTGGTCCATTAATACCTTACATGTGTCTATCTCATAATGTATAAAGCATTCAATCTTTATTCTCCACTGCAGAAAAAGCTTTTCCTAGCTTCTCATTGGGTTTTAGATTTGGAATGAAAATTTTATTTCGTTTGATGGGAATTGATTTTTCAGGCCCCTATGGCCACTGAAGAAACCTTTAGATTATCACTATGCTGGACAGTGAAAATTTTCATTCCCCCGAGAGGCTCATGACATAGGGTCAAAAGCCAAATATTGTCCCCCTCCCTGTCCCTAACCTAACCAAAAATGACTGTTCTTCTTACACTCAATGTCATCTAAAATTGGTACATTAGTAGAATACTAAAGACTACTGCCTGACAGAGACTCTTCCTAAGGCCATTTTCTTCATCACTATAGTTTTCTCATCCTTTAGAAAATTGGACTAAGACCTTTCCAATAAAAAATGGTTAGTCAGATTATTTACCATCTTCCTAAATATAACTTTTCTCTGACAAAGTGTCAAACAGGTT